GACCCAGTGCACCAAAAGGAAACAGAGACCCCCCACGTTTCCAGGGTCAGGAGCCCCTTGTCGCTCCGCAGACCTCAGGGCCCCAAGCCTCGGCCGCTCACCGGGACACTGCCCGCGCCTGTTAGACTCTGAGCCGTGCGCTGCCGGCCCGTCCACCCCGAGTTCCTGACCCGCTCCCTGCCCTCCGTCCTCTGCGCCAGTCTCCCCCGGCCGTCCTGTCTTTGTGCCTCTGTCTTTTGGAACCTGGCTTCTGTCTCCCCTGCACCTGTGCCCACCGCCGCGCTTCTCCCCCATGGACAGGGAGGGGGGCATCTCCACGGGCCCCAGCCCTGCCCTTCCATCTCTCCTCCTCCCTCCAGCCTAGGGGACGGCTGAACTGACCTCCCGCCCCTCCAGGTAGCACCGTCTGAGGTCCCACCGAACAGAGACGTCTGTTGACTTGGGGAAAGCCCAGCGGGAGATTTCTCTCTGGATTTCCTGGTGCTCTGGCCCGTTTCCACCCAGGGAAGGTCTCTCTATTCCCAGACTGAACCTTCCATTTCCCGCTTTCACAGAGCTTGTCCGATGTTTTCAGCCTCCGTGGGCTCCAGGGGTGAGGAGACGCCCTTTATCTCGTCATGACTGCGGTTCCCTCTCTGGGCATCATTGGAGACCCTCGGGTCTCATGGTCTGCTTTCTGGAGGGAGCGTGGAAGGGTCTGTGTCGTGGTCCCGGTGTGTTTCAGGTCAGGCGACACTTCCTCAGTGTCTTTCTCAGCCATCCGCCCGGGGCAGCTTCTTAACTTGCTGACATGAAAACAGAAACGAAACCCAGGCTTCCCTAAGTGGGGATCATGAGAAAGAATCTGTCGCAGGGTCTCTTGGAAATGAATTAGGCTTGACTGTCCTTTAGAGCTTCTCTAAGGAGCGGGCGTGGCCCTCTTGACCCCAGTACCTCGCCTTCTCCTCCCGCACGGGGTCCCTAACAAGGCTGCTCGGTCGGCATTTACTTCCCAGGTTAGAAGGAGGGTCGTGGTTTCAGCAGTTCCGTGCCAGTGCTCTCACGCCAACTGCTGTAACCGTCCCACTGCCAGGCTTCCGGATCTTTCTCCAGGAGCTCAAATGGGTTCCAAATGTGACTTCATGTTGGACATCCCCCCTCCCCTCTTTCCGTCAGCACCATCATGGTGCTCCATTGTTGTTGTTGTTGTTGTTGTTTTTTAAAGAACTTCACCGGGTGATCCACCTCATGGAAATCGGAACAGGGTGTTGACTTCTCGCATCATGAACGGAGCTTTTAAACAACTGATTCTGTGGACGCCATCTAAACATATCTCTGGCCCCCGACCTAATGCATCTGATTCCTTTTGGTCAGAATTTGTCACTCTTCTCTCAAGGGCAGCTCTGGGGTTGAGTCCAGTGCGGTGAGGGAACCTGGCGGGGAACACCCCGACATACCTATTAGCCCAAGGCGGTAACGGAAGTTCTTGGTCCACATGGAGCCAGGCCATGGAGCGAAGTGGACCTGGGTTTCCATCTCAGGCCAGGCATTTCCTATGAGACACCCACAAGTGAGGCCCTAACTCCCTAAAACCTCAAGCTCTTCATCTGTAAAATGGGGTTAACCACACACCTCCCTTCCAGAGCTGCTGGGGGCTTAAAGGAGAGAACGACCCAGCTGACCCAACACTGTGTCTGCCCGGGGTGGGTACCAGCCAGTCCCCACCCCTGCTAAGCCCCGGCCCCTCACACTCTAGGCATTTCCCTCTTCGGTCTGATGTCTGGGAACTTTGCGTATCGGAAGGGCGTGATGTCAATCAAAGCACGGTTATAATTAAAAGCACCCAGCTTGGAGCTCACCTGCCTTAGCTACATCCGATTCTTACCTGTGAGGACTCATGGAGCATCGTCAGAGAAATAATTGTGTTGTCAGACGGCAGTCGTCAAAGTAAGACACATTCACCCCGATTGTAATTCTTCAATCGTCAGCAAAAGCCAGAGAGAGAAGTAAAAAATATATGAGCACTAAATGAATTGATTTTCATAAAATTAACATTATATCGTATAATAACATTTCCCAATGTAAAGACGTTTTCCTATGAATATTTATAACCTGGGATTAAATCATACCTTTGTGATTGTTTAATCTTTTTTTTTAACTTTATTCTGGTTCAAAGATAAGAGTTAGTGATGGGCATGCTTTGGGGCTGAATTTTTTTTTTTTGGCTTTTATCTTCAAGAATGTTCTGGTGACATTCTGTGTTCTTCCAAGATCTTGTACCTATAATAACAGTCATAACAACACACACAAGAATCTGTCTTGGAATTGGTGGGACTGAAAAATCAGCCTCAACGCCCAGTTTGAAATAGCTCTTCTTTTTTCATGTTTCATTTGCAATTATCTCCCTCCTTTGCCAGGGAGAGAGAACCAACATGCTGAGCCCAGCCGCCCGCTCCACCCCCGTCCTGGGGGTCCTGCCCTCCGGGCGTGGATCTAAGGCAGAGCTAGGGAGCAGAGGTGAGCAGCGGGAGTTCAGGCCCTGATGCCCGACAGGCCCCCCGCGGACAGGTCGACTCCTGAGCTGTGGGCCCAGGAACTGCGCACCAAACCCGCAGGCAGAGCAGGAAGTGGGCCTGGCAGCCACATCCCGGGGCCTCAAGGAGGGGGAGCCTCCCCTTCTTCCTTTCACAGCAACAGATTTTTTTTTTTTAAGCATCACTTCTCTTAAATTTCAAACTCACCAGCATTTAAAGTTGGGGCGTCGCCGTGAACACATGAGTTCGTCACTCGAGCTGAGTGATGGTGAGAGGCACATGGTTTACCCAATCACGGTGACAAGCCACCGCAGGCTAGGTGGTTTGAACATCAGAAACGTACGGTCTCCGCGTTCTGGAGGCTGGAAGTCCGAGATCAAGGTGTGGGCAGGGCTGGGTTCTTCTGAGGCCGTGAGAGAGGATCTTCCCAGGCCTCTCCCAAGCGTCTGGGGTTTGCCGGCATCCTTGGCATTCCTCCGCACTGCCGTGGATCACCCCGATCTCTGCCTTCATCTGCAAGGGGTGCCCTGTGTGAGTCTCTGCGTCAGACCCCGCTTTGTGTAAGGACCGCACTCCTGCTGGATCAGGGTCCACCCTACTGGTCTCGTCTTAACTTGATCCTCTGCAAAGAGCCTATTTCCAAACAAGGTCACATTCACAGATACTGTGGTTGGGACTGCGACATATTTATGGGGGACGTGACTCAACCCCACTCCCCCCGCCCTGCCCGCTCCACCCCAGGGCAGACCACCAGCTCCCTGGCCTGACCTAGGGAGCTCACTCCCTCACGACGCACCCTCTCTGACCCCTTTCCACCCCTAACTGACACCATCTCCTCTGTCAACTTCCTCAGAAAGAACCCACCAGCACCGTGCTCAAGGCAGCCTCTCTCACAATAGGATGTCAGCCACCATGCGGCTTCCCTAGGACACACATCTGCAACTTTACATTCGTTTAGGCGATTATTTGGTTATTTTCTCGTTCCAACTGAATTGTAAGTGCCTTGATGATGGGCAAGTCTGGTTTTTTTTTTTTTATCATTGTTTTCCCAGAACCTAGCGCAAGCCTGGCGGGCTTCCCTGGTAGCTCAGTGATAAAAAGAATCCTCCTGCTAATGCTGGAGACACAGGAGATGCCAGTTCAGGCCCTTAGTCAGGAAGATGCCCTGGAGGAGGGCATGGCAACCCACTCCAGTGTTCTTGCCTGGAGAGTTTCATGGACAGACGAGCCTGGCAGGCTACAGTCCATGGGGTCATGAGGAGTCAGACATGCCTGACCACTAGCAGACACACACACACACACAGCACAAGCCTGGCACGTAGTAGGTACTCAATAAAACACTTAATGAATGAATCAATTCACTCACAGTTTATTAACATAGAATAATCTTCACACTATAATAGCACTCATGAATGAATCAATGACTATATACCTCCACTCATCAATGACAAAGTCCCCATAATGGAGGATTTCACAGGAAACCTGGGAAGCATTCACGTTCACTGTCAAAAAAGCGAAAAGCAAAAAGAAAAGCAAGAACTGGCGGTGTTCAGGTCCCTGAAAGCTGTGAAAGATTGGCTCTCCAACAGGTTAATAAACAGCAGTGGGCCCTGGAAGACACCAGGGAGCTGTTTTTCCGAGCAAGGACACGATTCATAGCTTGTGGGGATTTAGTAAATGGCCCCCCAGTGGACTGAACTCGAATTTGCTTTCCCAAGTTGGGCTTGACCCGCCCCCTCCGCGGGTCCCCTGATGGAGGCGGGGAGGGCGGATGTGGCTCTCTGCCTGCATCCCAGAGTTCCTTTCCAACAGGTTTACAATCTTAGCTGTGTAGGTCCTTCCTGGCTAATACATCCACACCAGAGAGAGACAGGACCGAATCACGGGCCTTGGAGTATTATCCCCGAATACCCACAAGGAGTCCCATTTGTGTATCTCCATTGGAGTTGGATGTGACCTGGTCAACTAGCCAAGAAGTTGCCCTCTGCCCTGGCCCCCTTTCATCAGCATCTTTTCCGTCTGTCACACCCCATTGTTCCTGCTCCCTGGGGTCCCCACACCCTCTTCTGACAGCAACAGCCCCCACGTGGCCAGCACTGAGCTCCTGAATGCGTTCCCTCATTTTTATGCTGGCAAGGTACCCATTGTACAGATGGGGCAGCTGAGGCTAAGCCATCTGCCAGAACCTGAGTTCTGCCTCAGCCCAGGGTCTCCCCGCAAGTCCCATACAGACAGTGCCGAGCACGGGGTGGGAATGAGAGGGTCCAGGAGAGGGTCTACAGAGCAGCAGAGACAGGTGGGCCGTCCGTGGTTAACACCTGCCCTTGGCAGATGTGCTTTCCCAGGCCTCCTCCGGGGGCCAGAAGGGGTGTTTGTCCTTCCGCAGAGCCTGGAGGACGGAAGGACCTAAGACGTGAGACGCTGAGCTCTTGGCCATCGGGCTCGCTGACCCGGCAGAGGAACCTCTCGACGTTCAACTGCACCCAGAGCACCCGTCAGCTCCCTCCAGTTCTCGCTCTTCATTGTTGCTGCGCCGAGACCAGAAGCCCACCAGCCCGTTGGAGGAAATGGGTCCCACACCAGGCCTGAGAAACGGTGAAACCGGCCCTGACGGCCGCCTCGCCACTGACCCTGGCCCCGCCACAGAGCTGCAGGCTCAGAGAAGCGCCTCCGGACCCCAGAGTGTTTTCCTGGCGTCCGCGTCCTAAATGGCAGGTCAAGCGCGGGGACCACCTGACGGGGAGAAGCAGCGCCCACGCCTCCCGTGGCCTTCTGTTCCCAGCCCTGCGCCACAAAGTAAATGTTCTGCAGTAAATTCTTCCCCAGCACATCAGCAGTGCATGACCAGGGCACTCTCCCCCACCGGCAGGATCATCCGTCAATGCCAGGAAGCGGGATGCAGGTTTCCGAGCTCCCGGCAAGACGCGGCAGCTAAGAGCACACGCCTGTTTCAGGGTGGCTCTGCCAGCCCCGGAGGGTGACAGCCTCGCCGAGAGACTTCCACGGAGGAGAGCTCCGAATCTGAGCCGCTCCTCCGCCAGGTCAAAAGAGGGGGGTCGTTACTACCCTGGAGGGTGACCTAGGGCTCGCGAGAGCTGGGTGAGGCTCCCGGTTCTTTGGGGGCTTCACAGACTCAATGCCATCCCATTAGTGTTAAGGTCAGTCTGTTTGTTTCAGGTCAGGGAAACCTCCCTCCTTCGGCGTGCCTGGGTCACTGAGCAGAACCTCCCTCTCCTGCAGCCCCGTGGGTGTCACCCCAACAGCCAAATGGCCGCCTGCACCACCGCCCCCCACCAGGGTTTGGAAAGCAGGTCGTCTCCCTGGAATCTGAGACACCTTGTCTTGTCCCAGGGAGAGGCAGCCACAGCTAATGAGAAAGTACACTAAAGAGCATCTAAAACACCAAATGAAAAATGACACTCTTCGGCTCAGCAAAACAGAGAAGAAAGACCACTCCCGAATTTCTCTGAAAGCTGGCTTTGTAGCCTCCAGGCAAGGCTGTCATTTCGGACTAAACTCAGCCAAGGAGAAACGAATGCTAAATGGCTTATCATTGGCTCCCAGCTCGCCTGACTTTGCCTTGTTAATACATCCAAAGTAATTCCCCGCCCGCCCCTGGCCCCCTCCCTGAGTTAATGATGGCTTGTTTCCTGCCTGGGCATTTTGCAGGCATGACAGTGAGAATCTTGGGAGAAGGTTCCACTGTCGCCATTAAATTAATAAATAAGATGAAATCGTCCACTTTTACTGGCCCAAAATCCCATCTCAAAGTATTAAGTCCCTCCCTGCTCTTCAAATATATGGCCAGCATCCCTGCCTGTGTTTTGTAAGGACAAAATAGTAAATATCACCTCTCTTCTCTGGCCATCAGCTGAGAACGCGAGGCAAAGAGCATCATAATTCTTCTCCTTATGAAGGTGAGAAGCATAACCCCGAGGACATTATCCAAGCCTGACCTGGAGTCTTGAGTATTTCTGGCGCAGCCGGCCTTCCAGCCATTGCAGAGGGCCTGTGTTCACCCCCAGCTGGTCTGCAGATACCCCTGGGCTTGTGTCTGTGAATCTCTGAACATCTTCACCCTTTCTAAAATGAAAACAGGCTAAACTTAATAGGAGTCTAAACTATGTGGGCCTGAAGTCAGAATCTGAAATAAAATAACACCAAAATAGAAAGCACAAAAAAAAAAAAAGAAAGAAAATTGTCATTTCACTGGGCTTCTGTTTGATTTTGGTGTGTTCTCTCTTGGTTTAGCGTCTGGTCTGTGAGATGCTAACAACTCGTTTGCCTGATGTCCTCCATCACCTCCAGGACGCTCTGTGCCCCGGGGTTTTACACGTTAACTTCTGTTTTTGCTTTCAGGGAGTTCATTTCGGATCCATGTATCAGGCTTACGCTGGCAGCTGTTTTCATCTTGGGAACGCTGGCTGTAGAATCGGGGACCTGGATTCCCAGGGCAGCTTTATAACGGTCTTTCCAAGTCTCCGCATTCTGAGCCTGACTCCCGAGGACCCAGAGTCCTTCCTAAACAGTGACGCTCCGTTTGCTGTCCTCACTCAGCACCTGATGACTCCAGGACTCGACCAGCGTCACCCCCGACGTGTCCTTCAAGTGTCGTCAGCTGAGACCCCCTCCCCCACCTTCCTCTTCTGGATTTGGGTGTAACCCACCAAGCTGGGTCCCCTAACCCTGACTCTCCACCACCGCTGGGGGCTTCTCTGACACAGCCCGCCTTGGTCATCTCTCCCTGCAATGTCTCCACGGCTGGTCCCCCATCCTGGGAGCCATCCACCTCTCGATTTCTGCTGGACCCAGGCGTGCTCTGCTGCTGTCACCACAAACTTTACGGCTTCTCCTCCACATCGAAATTTCAATCAAAACGTCACCCTTGTCCCCTGAATTGCCTCTGGGTCCCACCCATCCCCAGAAAGGACCGGTACTGCTTCTTCTGTCCTGGTCAATCGCCACAGGCCTGGTCCTCCCCAGGGCATCTTGACTGTCTGTGCTCAGCCTCCCAGGAACACCCAGATGCCTCTGGCCACGACGGGTCTGGGTGTTCCTGGGGGGCATACAACTCCTTGTTAGTGGCGCCATCAACCCACTCCTCGGCCCGAATGAAGCTTGGCCCAGCTGCCGGTGTCTGTGGCTGTCCTATGACATCTTCCGATTCCATCCGTTTGATGAATTGTGTGCTGCGGACACTGCCTGTATTTGCATAGCGAGTCGGTAATTAGCTGTGGAGGGTTTTGTTAAACTTCCATGTGCAAGATGCTGGAGTGAAATAAATTGCCTCGGGTCGTAAGTCACTCCTGAGCCCGCCCCGCGCCAGCCTCTGTTTCCTGCTATGTCGCCGCCCTGAGCATTGCTATTCCTGTCTTGATGGCTGGGTCTTTCCAGACTTTCCAGCCTCAGCATCAGTTTCCCCGGGCACAGAGCAGTTCCTACCAACTCCATCCTTTTTTTCAGAAGGGTCTTATTTACCAAAGTTAATTCCGCTCATATTGCGACGTGCTTGAAAATAAGTATGAATCTTGTTTATTTTCATTTGCAGTGTTCCACCAGCAAGTGGCAATTGGAACTAAATTACACGTGTTCAAGGAATGTGCTCGCATATTTCCAAGCTGTTGAGAAACATCTTGCTGGACTAAACTGGGTTCAGACAGAGCCATAAACCAAACCATCGTTAGCTTTAGGACACCCCAGAGAGCGGGGCCGCGGGGGCCACGGCAGGCCTGGCGGGGGTGCCGTTTGTTTGAGTTGCAAAAGCTGGTCACAGTTTTACCATCTGTCTCGCTCGCATCCCTGGCAGGCAGGCTGGGGATGGCATCAACTTAATGGTTCCTAGCCCATTAGAAATGCAAACCTTTTTATTTCCTTGTAAATAAATCTCTGCTTATTTCCAAAGCTGCCCGTAAGGAATGGGGCTGCCAAGGAAGGACTTTGTGCTTTCTCAACAAGGTTATTCTCCGTTCCTTCCCGGGAAGCAGGGGGGAGGGGGGCACCGGGGAGGGGAGGGGGCGGCAGGAAGCCCAGTAGCCAGTCTTCTCCGTGGGCTTGCCGTGAGCTGGGAAAGCAAGATGGGCAAGGTCCCTGCCCCCACGCGGTTTGCCATCTAGCAGATGAGGAAGGTGCCAGATTGTGGGGAACAGCCAGGAGCCCCAGGGAAACCAGAGTGGTGACACCTCTTCAGGCTTGGGACCCAGACAAGGGCTTTCTGAGAAAGTGATATTTCGGCCAAGGCCAAAAATCCTGACTCTAGCAGCCAAGTTCAGGGATTTTCTGTCGGACCCAAGCCGGGGACTCCCACCTGCTTCATCACTTAGTATGTGTAAATTTCCGGGGGCACGGCATCAACCTGGAAAACCATGTCCCTAGAAATGTGCGGAAAGATGCAGATTTTTCCATCAGACTCGTCTTCATCTCTGATTGATGGCTTCGTGGCAAGGACCCCCAACCTTGTTTCGAAGTGTTTCTGTCCCTCTTTGTTGTTGTCCAGTCACTAGGTTGTGTCTAACCCCATGGGCTGAAGCACACCAGGCTCCCCTGTCCTCCACTGTCTCCGGGAGTTTGCTCAAGTTCATGTCCATCGAGTTGGTGATGCCATCCAGCCATCTCATCCTCTGTCGCCCCTTCTCCTCCTGCCTTCAGTCTTTCCCAGCATCAGGGTCTTTTCCAGTGAGTCAGTTCTCCTCCTCAAGTGGCCAGAGTATTCTTAACCACCTCCAAAGTGCTTCAGACTTGAATCTCGGATTTTTATACTCAAAATAAAATGTTTAGTGACCCTCTCAGGTGATGACAAAAATGACCCCATTTCTTCACCCTTCCTAAAACCCACCCGCTTCGCCTCTAGCTCCGCGGCGTCTCCCATGGGTCTAGTTCCCCGCCTCTTGAAGCAGAGCTGGTCACGTGATTTGCTTTGGCCAAGGGAATGTAGCAGACGTGATGGAGTGCTTGTCGGAGCCCAGGCCTCAGGCCCTGATGCAGGAATCCTCTCTCCTTCTGTGTCCCGTTCCCGTGCTGTCGCCATGACGACACACCCAGGCTCCCTGCCGGAGCATCACAAGCCCAGGCAGCACAGCCACGTCACTGCTCTCCCAGCCAGGGCCGCCGAGGACCCGCTGCCAACCAACGCCTGATGCAGGTGAGCTCGGCGGGGACCACCCAGCCCACCTGCAACCATAAATGGTCAGACTAGGCGGCTCAGACCACAGCAGCTTATCTGCTCACAATGCCAGAGGCTGGGAGTTCACGGTGTCAGGAGCGTTGGTTTCTTCCCAGGCCTCTCTGCTTGGCCTGCGGGTGGCCGCCTTCTCCCCGTGTCCTCACCTGCTCTGTCCTGTGTAGACGCTGCTGCCGGGCTGTGTGTACTCAGACATGTGCACAGACTTTGTGGCCCCAGCAGACTCCCCTGTCCAAGGGACTCTCCAGGCAAGATACTGGAGTGGGTTACCGTTCCCTCCTCCGGGGATCTTCCCAACCCAGGGATGATTGAATTCGTGTCTCCTGCATCTCCTGAACTGGCAGGTTCTTCACCACCTGGGAAGCCCTTCCTGTCTATCTGTTGTGTCTTAATCTCCTCTTCCCATAAAGACACTGGTCATGTTGTATTAGAGTCTCTCCTAAGACCTCATTTTACCTTAACCACCTCTTTAAAGACTCCATCTCCATGTATATTCTGAAGTCCAAGAGGCTAGGACTCTACCATATGACT